AGGAAAGGAGCAAAACATGGCTGACAGCTCGGGAGGAGATCTGTCCAGGTGAGAACACGTCACTCTGGAGACTGAGTTGAAAATATGAAAAAACAAACAAACAAACAAACAAACCGAAGGTCCAGGAGACCCTGAGAGAACCAGCAAATGGAATCCTGATGCAGCAGAAGAATGGGAAGTGGAGTGGAAGCAGGAGCAAGACATTTTTTAGAATTCCAAACTGAGTGGGGCCAGGCTGAAGTCACAGAGCACTAAGAACTAGGGCACAGTGAGAACCTGGGAACCTACTCTGGAGCTGAAGAAAGAAAGGGATGGAGGGACCCTGCAGAGGGGAAGAGGGGCAGACTCAAACCTTAGCTGACCAAAGACCAGCCCTTCAGGAGACCAGAGATGGCAAGGTGGGAAGAGGTAGGCTTTCTGGAACCTGAGTCTGGTGGGAAGTGGGGGGTTGTCAGAGCTAACACACATGGGGAGGTCCATGGGCTGGAAGTCATGAGCCCAGGTCCCAATTGGCAGGTCCTTTCCCATCTGTGAAGCTCCCAGCTTTATTACAGTGCTCTCTGGGGACCTCATATAGCATCTTCTAAGGGCCCACATCTGGTGGATCATGGACCCTTTTAGAAAACTAAAGAGAACACCCGATCCCCATAGATAGGATATAGACATCTGCATAAAAATGCCTGGGTGTTGGTGGATTCCCGAAGATCCATTGGTACACCCAGGAGTCAGAAGTTGCAATCATACACATAAAAAGGAAAGAATCCCACCCAGCCGCCCCTGGTAGCCCAAAAGCTGTAATAAAGGAAAACAGAATGCCATTTCCTTCAGCAGCAGCCGCAGCCCCCACACAGACCAGCCACTAATGAGCTTTTTTGTTTGTTGATGGAAGACACTGGTAATAAAGCTTAATGTGAAAGAACAAGGTGTGTTTAACGGAAGCTGTAAACATCTCTAATTCTATTTAAAACTATAGGGTGCAGTACATTAACATTTAACAATCAGACGCTAAATTGGTGTGGAGCTAATCGAGCTGTGTTTATTAGAAAGCAGGCACCAAGTCATCTTTTACCAATGACAACAGAAGGAGGGATCGTAGCCAGGGCCACCCCCTACTTCCCATCCTGTGCATTCATTAAGAGTGGGTTCCAGATTGCCACACCATGGAAAGATGCCTATCTCTTTGGAAAAAATAAACGGAGTCGACCAGAATCAGCTCCTGTGCACTTAGTGAAAATTCCTCCCAAACAAGCCACTTTTAAAAATGAGAAACATACAATTCATTCAGAATGAGCAAACCTGTGTTCCACTTGACCTCTGTAGAGTGCACACTGCGGAGCCCTTCCTTTGAGAAACTCCCAGAAAGGCTCTCCTCACTCCCCTAGGATTGCTTGGTCTCCTCTGGTCTCTGGCTTCTTCATCTGCTTTGGGACCTGCTGTCCTAGGTGCTCCCCATCACTTGAGGCTGGCCACCCTCCCTTCTCATTGGGTGGACTCTCCCTAGGAATTTTGCCCCCTTTCAGGACTCCAGCTTTGTTTGGCCCATATTCTGAGGACACCCAGTCCCTGTGATGCCTCTGAGTCCACATTCCCAACAGTTTATGTTGGGTGTGTGGGAGACTCCCCGCTGAAATTAGGTTTCCGACTCAGGAGAACACCACGGAGTTACCTTACCTTACCCTTCCCCCTCCTCTCCAAAGGGCGCCAAATTCAAAAGTTTTTTCGACCAATCCCCGCGGGACACAGTGTCTGCTCCTGAGTCACCCTGCCAATCAATACCCTCCATGTCTCCTGCAACCCTTCTTAAGCTGAAGCTTGCAAGCTCACGCACGCTCTCTGCCCTCTCCCTCTATGCTCTCTGCCCTCTCCCTCTTCTTTCTCTCCTCCTTTTGCTCTCTTTCTCTCTACCCTCCTCCTCTCCTCTCTCCTCTCTCTTCCCTCTTCCTCACTGCTCTCTTCCTCTGCTCTCTGCCCTCCTCCTCTCCTCTCTCTGCTACTCCTTTTCTTCCCCTTCGGGGAGCCCCCCAATAAAATCTCTTGGTTGAATCTCCATCTCGGGTGAGTCACTCGCCTTTCAGTTTATATCTTTGCTACTTGTAGGAGCATGGACATTCCCTGGGAGCTTATTAGAAACTCAGAATCCAGGTCTTACCTCTGACCTCCTAAGCAAGGACTCACAGTTGACCAAGATTGCATGTTATTTGTGTATACCTTAAAACTTAGGGAACACTAGTCTATGTGCCCTCTGTCTGGACACCATTGTAACTCAAGCTCAGCAAGGCCATGCTGAATACATATCCTTCACCCAAACCATAAATTACACGTGGTTTTCCTTTCCACTGAATAATTTCTTCCCTGTGGGGGGAGGTTGGGATGTGGTTCTAGATGGGGTCATCATTCTTACCATTTGGCTGATCACCCTCTGGCCCAAGTCCTCTGGGTCAGGAGGACTGGGGACATCATATTCTCTCTGGAAGCCATCCTAAACCTTAAGGTCAACAACAAAAAAATGTTCCCTGGGACCATAATTCTGTAGGACAGTGTCGTTCCTGCTTCTCTCTTGGTCTCTGTCACTCTCCGCTTGGCAGGAAATGTTGCTGTAGGCATATCATGATTGCTTGGTCTCCTCTGGTCTCTGGCTTCTTCATCTGCTTTGGGACAGCAGCATGACCAGCCTAGTTTAGAATCATACTGTTGTAGGGATAGACGAGGCAAGGCACCGAAGATAGCAGGAAACAGTTTTATTTGGCTGCAGCCAGGTTCAGAGGGCACAGATTTTTCTGTAATCAATCAATTCCCTGAACCCCGTTCAAGTAGTTTCAGAGTTTTATACCCAGCATGTAAGGCGAGGGGCTTAGTCTGATGAAAAAAAGCAGCTTTTTCTTTCACTGTTTTGGGAAAGTTAATCTCTCAAGGACCACTCCCCCTGCCAGCTGTTACCATGGAGCCCAATTGGTAACTTCTCTTATCTTAAAAATGTAGACATCTCTGTGAAGCCCAGCTCAAGGCCAGAGGCCTTGTTTGCACATTTCTACAAACTACTATACTGGATACATTTGTGAAAAACTAGTAAGGGGGTGTCCAGCACCTGGAGTGGTGGTATCTTCCTGGCCAGTGGCCAAGTAAAACAGGGCAAAATGGAAAATAGGTAGTTTATCTACATTGAACTCTTTTGCAGAGACGTTTTTGCTGACAGTCCTCAAATCAGCCATGGTGAAGATTTCTGGAGAAGCCCAGTTAAGACTTTTCTGAGGAGAAAGGGGTGCCACTACAATACCTATCAAAGTGATAAACAAGGCCACGAATAGTCCTGAAAAGTGGATCTTGGGGTTTATGAATGTGTGGGCCAACACACGCTATTTTGCATTAAAAACTATGAAGGGCCCCATGTCATTTTCACACCTATAAGAATCAGAAGGGGACAGGCCTGGCTTTTTCTTCTTTTCCCTATGTACTACCAGAGTCACAGTAAAGAGCTGATCCTGAAGGAATCCCAGCCCTTTCCTCTATTATGGCTTTGAGCTTTGACTCTGCAAGATAATTTCATTCGGGTGTGATTTCATGACATTTTCTTGCTTCCTGTAACAGGTCCATGACAACTCTGGCCTAGGTCAAAATTCCCCACCAAATTTGAGCTTACCTGCATTCTGCCTGTGAGAAGCCATTGCATTCTGAGCAACCTTTGCTTTAATCTTCTTTTGTCAGCAATTGTCCACTTTGAAAATGATTCATCTATAGTTGTTCTTATATGATAAATTGAAGAAGTTTTTCTAATTTCTTGTTGAAGAATTATATTTCCCTTTAGTTAGTTCTAGAAACATGAGTATAGGGTCTCTCTTATAGAGAATGGATAAATAGACGCACATTTTTAAGCTCACAATAGCAAGAATGGCAAAAATAGTCACCTGAAACAAAAACCGGGTTCAAATCATCCAGTGCCTCCCATGTGAGCAGAGCTAGGATGGTTTGTTCCTGGAGATGACGGTGAGGCAGGCTCTGTGTGAATGCTCTGTAGCTTCCTACTACCCCAGGAGAAGCATTTTCAGAGGGAGGAGATAGTTAGCAGACTGCACACCTGGGTTTGGATTTGTGCAGCTATGAGCACAGTTTGGGAGAAAAGGGTTGAAATGAATCTATGACAGATATATTTTAATTGGCTCTTAAAAGCACATGCTATTCTTAGTGGAATGTGTTCATTTCCATATGTGATGACTCTAAGCTCTCACTAGATTTAAAAGGTTGGGTTTGGAGGCCTGAGGGCCTCAGAAGATATTGCCTTCTACTCTGTCACCCTGCTCCACCATTTCCTCTTCATGTGCCCTGCTCTTCCTCCCTCTTGAAACCCCAAAGGCTCTACCTGTCCATATGGCTCTTTAGTCTCCTGTGTCCCCAAAATACTATACAACCATCTGCTGGAACATAGCCATGATAAAATATTACCTATGATCATTATGATATGAAAGGTATGCTAACCATAAATTGTCCTCTCCCAAAAAAGGATGTCCTGGGATTTTCTAGTGAGTTCTTCTGAATCGTGCTGGTTCCTCAAAAGTTGTATGGTGTGTTCACTAGCTTTCAGACCTGGCATTGAGGGCAGGGTGTCAGCCAGAGACGACAGACTTCCACTTGGTAAAGGCAGGCCATTTTTGTTTCCAGGAAACCAATAGCTATTTCCATTTGGACCCTTTCCAATAAACCATAAGAGTTTATTGGAAAGGTATCGTGGGACTTTGGAAGCATTATTGTCAGGCTAAATTTGTGAACCAAAATTTGTTTTTTAAAGCTATTGCAATGAAAGTCTTAGAAATTTTTACTTTGGAAATGCAGATTTGTTTTAGCATAAATGTCAAAAAAGACTGTGTAGCAATTTAGAGCTTCCAGAATCTAGCAACACTCATTATCCCAGTTTACCCTTAAGAGTTCTACGAGAGGTTAATTCACCTTTACACACACATTGAGTCTGAGGCTATTCGGGGATAAGAAACTCAACCAAAGTCTCATAGTGATATGGAGGGGGGCACAATTCATACCCCGACTGTATTTAAAATAGATAATTTATCATATATACAATGGTCCATTACAAAGTCAATTTCTATAGCGTGCAGTAAATAGCCACCCAGAGTACACTCACATATCAAGAAACATCCTTAAAACAGAGTGACAGGATGACTTCTCCTAAATGAATCCATCTTCAGCGAGTTCAAGATTTCTGTACATCATGCAGGTCCACAGAGCAACTTCATGGATTTATGTTCCACACATCCATGATGCTCACCCAAGCCCACTACAGTTCATGTCAAAGGTTGAGCTGGGCAAGGCACTTGGCAAGCACAGGGTCTTCGTGACACACGTTTTCAGCATGGCTTATATTCCTGATTCCCCCACCCTGAGGGAACCTGGTGGAAGACTTGCTTTCCCACAAGTGGGCATTCAGTGTGAGTCGGCTGAGCTCAGCACACTTTGAAGAGCCCCACTTGCTCTAGTGTGTCCACTGTTGGCAAACTTGTTTCTTTGGAAAAGGGTAAGCAATGTTTCTCTATCCATCTAGGTTCATTCTGCTGAAACCAGCAGACCTTTAGAATGGTGTCTTTCTTGACCTGAAGCCTCTGAGAATCACGAGGTACCAGAGTTTTCAAAGACAAACCTCAGGCTTTCCCCAAATCATTCCCTCTGCCATTAAACAACCAGGATCTGTGCATCTATTTAAAACAATGGATGCCATCCTAAGTGGCTGCTTGCCATCAGTGGGTTTCTGTGCTCTGGGTGCCCTGGCAATGTTATCTGAGTCTTTGAAAACCAATTACTACATATCTACCATCTTACACTTTGGCCTATAATGGCATTTCCTGTAGCTATAAACCAGGAGTTCAATATCACAGATACAGGAAGGGTGGCAGATTACAGTTAAGATTTTTAAAAAGACTTTAACAAAATAAAATCCGGGGAAAGTAGAGAAAAAGTGTAGGAGGTTGGCTCAGCAGTCTCCTGAGGTACTCTCAGAAGCAGAGTCCTTCTGCCCCAGGGCTCAGGCCCCAGAACAGCTTGTTTGGGGAGATTCATCCAAAGGCTGCAGCTCCTATTTCTGCAGGGGAGCAGCCTCGTACCTTCCAAGGCACCTGGAATGTGTTGGGAAGGGACTCCCCACCACATGCGAAGGCACAAGTGAAAATATAAAAATAGGGACATTGTTTCTGAGGTTTCATAAATAACTGGGTGGTGGGGATAACAGAACCACAGGAGAGGAAACGGTGGCACTACAGCTTGTTCTCTTCAAAGAGGATCTGCGCATACACGGTGCTGGTGGGGACACCTTTGGCAGGCTGGTGGGGTTTGATCAGCTCCAGCTCAGCGTAGGTCAAGTTCTCCTCAGCAATCTTTGGCTATAAAACAACAACACAATTGTAGCTGACCACATGCAGTTCCACAGCACATATGTATCTTAAAGTATGCATTTTCATAGCCTTTGAGGGACTTAAAGGGAAAAGCATGGGGACCAAGTTAAAGTATATATAAAACCCATAAACATAGTTAATACAACAATTCTCATTGTCTTATATAGAACACTATGCCCTGCAAAGGAAGATTGTGAGCTGTGTTCAAGTTGATTAGGAACACTCCAAAATGTGGTTAACATTAAACCACAAAGAAAACTTTCATTCTGAAAAAAATCGAGACAGAAACAAAACATCCCAGCAGAATTATATAAAGGACTTAATTTATATAAAACTAAAATTTCAGAGTCTCTTGATGATATAATGATAAAAAAATATTACTTGCCAGCAGTATGGTTGAAACACTGCTCAAGAAAAATCCAGGCCTTACATGCTTATGGGAAAATATCTGATTTAGATCAAGCATCCAATTCAAGAATTTAGAAGAAGAATAAAATATCAGAAAGTAAAACAGAAGGAAGAAACCAATAAAAATAAAACCAGACTGCAAGAATCAGAAAACAGACAAACAATAGAATATCTAAAGCTGATGCTTGGGAATCACCCATAAAACAAATAAACTGAAAAAATAAATTGATCAATATAAAAGAGAAAGCATAAATTAGTAAAAATAGGGAATGAGAAATGGAGTAGAATGTAAATGAACAAAATCTTACAACATTTTTATGAGACTATTTTGTTCAACTCATTGAAAATATTTTGAAATACTGAGTAAAATAGTAATGTTTAGGAAAATATAAACAATGTTAATTCCAGGAAATCTAAGTGGAATAATTACCACGAAAAGAGAGAGGGAGGGAGGGAGAAAGGAAGAATGAGGTTTTGGGCTTTAGATTGATTGTTGTTGCTTTGACTTTGGTCTTTAAAAGTTTATACCCAGCTACCTTTCTTTGCATTGATGGTTCAATGGAGGGCTCAGGTGCATCTGATAAGTAGCTCAGATAAACATGTTTAGCATACCTGTAAGACTAGGAGAGACTAGAAAAAACTAATATTAAAACCAGGAGCCAGTTTATTTATCTCATGAAAATTCAGGACAAGTAAATTGATTACATTCAACTTAAGTTTCTTGAAAAAAAATGCCAAAGCAAAAAAAAAAAAAAAAAAAAAAAAAAAGCCTCTTTTCTTTGAGAGGGAGCATAATACTAGATCAGGAAGCACAAGGCAAAGATGAAGGATGGGAGATGAAGAACCAGGAGAATAAGAGAAGGAAAGACAGTGGAATGAATCTGAAATAATTCTCCTATGAATACATCATAGTGAATCCTACCATCATATACATCCATATGAATGGGGTCCTAACTAGAAGAATATACATTCCATGCTTGTATAATTATATAAAAACAAATTCTATTGTCATGTATAACTAAAAAGAGCAAAAACTCCTTAAATCCAGGACCTTCTGGTTCAGTTGATTACCAAGCAAACTGCACAGATTGTCTAGCTGCTTTTCAAGTTCAAAGTTAAGACCCTACCTAGGGATGAGAGTCTCTGCTTGTAAAGACCAAAAGTCTTTACATTGCTTCTTAGTCTTCCACATCTTACCAGCCAACAAAAACCCTGTTTACATTCTTGCCTTTCCGTTTAATTACATTTCACATTATAATGATTCCATTTAGAAATGCCATGTGTCCTCAAATAATCACTCAAAACCCAACTCATGTAAATTTTAGAACCAAGATTTATAAAATCATATTGTCCAGGTGTTTTATTGCATTACCTTGAAATTGCATTGTTTTCTAGTGTAGATTATCTGTTTATTCTTAAGTTATTTCATTACGTTTGGATATGAAAAATAACACTAGCGTTCTCAATACAGGTCACCAGGCTGGCTGGGCTGATGTGTTGTTTTCATACATTTTTATGATGTTCCTATAGTAAGCATAATTTAATAAAGCCAAAGCACACTAAATAAATAATTGCATCTAGAAAAGCAATAAAAACAAATAAAATTAGTACTTTCATAAGTGGAAAAGGTACTTCAATTACTGCTACAAGCAACAACCCACCATAAAATGTGTACAATCATTTCCCTTATGCATATTTCTGGAATATAATAATTTGATTGAAGATATGAGGCAGCACACAGGAGGCTCGGGATAGTGAAGTGCATACAGTTTCCAACAGAAGATGCATAATATCAGTCCTTGGCATCTTTAAAGAACCTATTGTTTTTTTTCTGGCAGGCACACTTGTCTAGGACCATCAACCATTGCTTAATTACATTTCCTAACGTGTTTAACTGGGAATAAATTCTTAATCGCCAATGAAAGGGGGCAAATGTATACTCTTCACCAAGCTACTTTTCTTTGCATTGATGCTTCAGTGGAAGATTTAAGTGCATCTGAGAAGTAGCTTAGAGAAATATTGGGGGCATGTGATTAAGACTAAATAAGACTAGTGAACTGGTAGTAAAACCAGGAGCCAGGAGCAGTATGTAATGGTTAAGTCAGCATGTGGTTGCAATGGAGCAGAGCCAGGTGAGAGATCCACTGCAGGGCCCCACCTGTGTTTCAGGTGATGAAAATTCACTGCAATCCCAATTAGACAAACCCAATTTAACTTTAATTAAGAAATCACTCCTAGTGTCTATGGCAATTCCAGAACTGGAGGGCAGCCATGGAGTCTCTAAAGATGAACTAGGAAGTATTTTGTTAGTTTGCCCTTTCAAGTCCCCTCCCTACTCTTGGAAGTACAGGAAGGATAGAAGTTCAAGTTCTGCAAATTCTCCATCTGCAAATCTAACCAACTGTGTATGGATAATGTTTGGGAAAAAATAACTTGATCAGTGCTGAACATGTAGATTTTTTTCTCGTCATTATTCCCTAAACAATACAGTGTAACAACTATTTGCATAGCATTTATACTACATTAGGTATTGTAAGTCATCGAGAGATGATTTAAAGTATACAAGAGGATGTGCACAGACTATATGCAAATGCCACACCATTTTACATAAGGGGCTTGAACATCAGGGGCTTTGGTGTCTAAGGGACATTAGTGTCAGAGTATAGATTTTAATAATGTTGAACAGGCTGTTCACAACCAAGCTTATCACTTTAGGTCCCATGAAAGCATAAAGGGAATTGCAAAAGTAGGATATTCAGGTCTCATACCTGAGCTGTACCTTTATGTCCAAATGTTGCTATAGTCACTGTGGAAGAGGCAGCAGAGGTGAACAAACTGCTGGGAAGTCCTGGTAGCCCCTTAGTAAAAGCCCTAGAACTTTCTAAACATGTGAGAAGCAGTGCTGCCATTTCTTCTCTCCAGGGCTCTTTGGTTTATGCTTTTTCCCCTTCCGGCCAGCCTTCAGACTCTCCTGGTCAGATTCTTTCTATCCTTCAAAAAAGGGCTACCATTTGTTATCTATGTGTCCCTTGGTATCTGAGGGGGACTGGATCCAGAACTTCACAGATCCCCAAAGATGATCAAGTCCCTTGTATAAAATGGTGTTGTGTTATAATATAATATTATATATATAATATTATAATATTAGTTATAATATCTAATATGATGTAAATACTATGCAAATGTTGTTATATTAAAATATCTAGGAAATAATGACTAGGAAAAAAATATGTACATGTTTAATACAGATGCATTTTTTTTCTAACATTTTTCAATGTGTGGTTGGTTGAATCCATGGACATAGAACCCACACATACAGATGGGCTGCTTTGTTCAGCAGCTTGGTATCTTATATGTACCCAACACCTTGTCTTCGGCTGATGGGAAAAAAACATTTCCCATCAGCCGAAGAGAATTCTCTTCTCAGGTTGGAGGAGGGTTTTATGAGCAAGGGGGGTTGGAGGGCAGATACAGACAGATGTCAATACAGAAAAAGGCTAGAATGAAAGAAACTTCTCTTAATTTGATGAAAGTGTTCTCGGAGAGGAGGTGAGAAAAGTTGCCCTTTGGCATCATCCTGTGATTGACTTCAGAGCACAGGTACAGGAAGGATTTCGACCTCAGTTCAAATGTAAGCTGTGTGACCTTGGGCCAGTTGCCTCACTGGTGCTCAGGGACAATGATACATGCCTTGCTGGTATCATTGTCCCTGATATCAGGGACAATGAGGAGTGAGGATGTAAATGAGGTTTGTGAACATATGGGCCCAGTGCCTGCCCCAAAGAAGGTACTAAATGTATCACTGCTTCCTCCCTAGAGAGTCAGTCAAAATACCATCCATTTTTGCATGTTCTGAATTCTTCATGCATCAACAAGAATTATGGGAACAATTAACCTTGGAAATTAACAAATTCTAGGAAATTCATTATTAGGGGCTAAATGATGTCCCTCAAAATTCCCATATTGAAGTGCTAACCCCCAGTACTTAGAACTGACTATATCTGTAGATGGGTTCTTTCAAACACTAGTAAAGTTAAAATGAGCTCATTATCACAAGCCCTAGTCCAAGATGACAGATGTCCCTATCAGAAGCAGAGATTAGGGAGAGACATGTACAAAAGGAGACAGATGTGAAGACACAGGGAGAAGATACATCTGCAAGCCAAGGAGCAGAGCCTCTGGAGAAACCTGCCCTGCCAACACCTTGATCTCAGAGTTCCCGTCTTCAGCACTGTGAGAAGGCACATTTCCATTGCACAAGCCCTCAGTGTGTGGCACTTTGTTGTGGTGGCCTTATCACACTAGTCCATTAGCCAAGGTGGGGACAGAAGAGAGAGGAAGAAGAGAAAATAGCCCTCCTGGAGGAAAAGGGGATGAACTACCTGATTAGGGTGGGTGGATACAAGAGATCCGTGCACTTTCTGTCAACAGCTGAGGAGAGCATCCCACCCTTGGAGGGGACCAAGGTCTGTGCATGGATCCCTGATTCAGTGAGGAATAGGGCTAGAGAAAAAAGGTCCTAGGACTAATACCTCCTACACACGACTCCCAACCCCAGTTGCCCTGTCCTCTGTGGGCTA